AGAAAAGCCTGATAACTTATTATGACCTCTAAGATGATAAAGAACTTAGAATTCTCGATTCTGAAATAATCATCTGATAATTAAATTTATTAGAAATGATGCATACGATTGAATTGAAACATTTTAAAATGACCGAAATACCTTTAGACCTTAAAATGGCCAAAATACATTCAAGCTCTGAAGTGAATAAAATAACCTTGAGTACCGAAATGACTTAAATACCTTTGTGACCTAGAAATAAGTGAATGTCTTTGGATAATTCTGAAAACACCGACAAACCTAAAGGTTAAATCACCTCTAAAGGTTTTAGAGCACGACCTAAGCATGTCGGTCTTACTTGGATATTGTTGCAATGCAGAAACAAAATAAATACCACTGGAATAACTATTTGACTCTTCAAGATATGTTATATGATGTTTCTAAAGGTAATCAGTTCAACCAGTGTTGTCGATATTAAGAAGTGAATATTCGTGAAGTATATCGTTCCCGGTAATTGACAAGTATTGTTATTTTAGGATATGTATAGTTCAATTTAACTCAAAATCCGGAGAACTGAAAATAAATTTGGAATACTATAAATTTCCGTTTTATTCTCCTATTACCAAGTTTTCTCCCAATAGCAAAATGATTCAAATTCCCTTGATGACATGAGTAATGAAATCACTCCTATTACATCTGAATCTGAAATAATTTTGATGTAAGGTTCCTTATTATCTTTTGGTGCACCTGAAATCATAAATGGTTCCGAAGTATCAACTTCTAAATGTCTGATTAGATATGTAGGTAATTGAACCCTTTTAATAGATATATCGTTTCTGAAATCCAATAAAATTGTAGAAGTTTGTGTTTCCTTTCCTGATAATCACAATGTTCCTCCGAAAACTATCTTAATCCTCTAGTGTGTTCTTGATGCACATATATATTTTTCTCTGATTTTTAAAAGTATGACTCTGATATTAAAATAAAACATGGTTTCTGATATTTGGTTTCTAATACTGGATACATCCAACTCTTGATTCTGATATTAATGGTTACTGATTACTATCTGTATGATTTGATTTTTGTTTGGGTGCTTTCTGGTTAGGGTTTTGGAGTTTCTGAGGTTCAACCCTGATCAAGTTGGTAAATCCTTTCTGTTCTAATCATTTTTATTAGACTAATATACCTATCGGGTATAGGGTAAGTCTTTATGAATGCATTTTTGGGTGACTGCATATGGTGTACCGGTGGAGGATATTACCGTGTTTTAAAAAAAATTGTTTTACTGAAATAAACTGATATTTCTAGTTTTGTTGGAACACGCTAGACTTTCCAACTCCATCTTTTGAATCTGTCTCTCTAAATGTTCCCTCTGACTTGTAAGCTTTAGGACTGTTCTTAAAGAATTAATTAGTGAGACCTCAACTCTTTACTGTGACATGTATATGCCTGGATAACTAAGGAAATGTCACACTTTTATATATCTTCTCGGCCTTTAGCATTTGTTGGTAGTATTGTATTACTGAGCTTTCCTAAAGTTCACTCTGTTTTCAAGTTAAAAAATCGTTCCTGTGTAGTATCGATATCAGGTGGGAGTTCTTTCAGTGTTGCTTGCAGAGTACAATACAATTATAATTCGGAGGAATGTAGTTCTCATTTTTTATGTATGTCGGAGTCTGTAACTTATTTTGAAATTTGCGTATGATTGGATTCCGAATTTAATTTGTGAATGTTTTCTGAACTAATATAATATATTTATAAGTTGTTGCAATTTTGTCAGTGAAAGATCTAATAAGCAATGACGAAACGGGAAAAAAATAAGACAAATTGCATAGCTTTGGCAGAAGCCCTTATACTAATTAGATAACATTCCATTAAACATTTTAACTGATTTGACCTGCATGAACACGTGTTCTCAAAATCTCGGGTTCGAACATCTTAGATATTAGAAGTATAAATTTTGAATGTTAAAAGATTAAGAGATATCTTTAAAATATACTATATTATATTTATTCAGATTAATAAATAAAATATTTTGACTTTATGACGTTTGCAGAAAATTATACATAAATGTATCTAGAATTGAATTCCCAATTTAATTTAAGGAAAATATTTGCTATATTAGTAATAGAATTTTAATTTTACAACTTTTAATTAATATTTTAAAAAAGCACGAACAATGTAAGACAAATTTGAAAATTTGTACGCTTCGAAATTGGATAATAACAAGTTTTTGTATAAGAAAATTATGACCTACAGGCAGTCGCGGATCCACCTTTATATCAAAGATAGATATATATGTACGTTTTAAAATTTGAATTTTTTCAATGAATTACTCATTTTATTGATTGTATTCATCTTGATTATTCATTTTTAATATCAAAAAATTATCGCGGAGTATAAGACGTGAAGAATTACTTTGTTGAGTCGCATGTCTATTAAAAGTTACAAAATAGTAATCGGTTATTCATATGTTCTAAATTAATCTATTTATGTTAAAAAATTAACTGTAGCTTGGACTGGAAGTTAACCCTGTTGACCGTGATATGATGAAATATGATCCCAAAATCTCAAACAACTATCATATCTGTTGGGATTATCGATGAAGTTCAATTGAACGACCGAAAATTGCCAAGAGGGGGTGGATTGGGTTTTTGAGTTTAGGGAGTAAGGAGATAATAGACAATTGGCACAAGGATTTATAGTGGTTTGACTTCTCAATCAAGTCTACATCCACTACCTTAGCTTCTCACTAAGGATTTTCTAATAAATTCACTAATTTGTTCTTTCTTTTTGCAGGATAAAGAGATAACCTTTACACTCACTAGCTTTTCAGAGGAGAAGCTAGAACCACTCCCCTTTTACAAAAGGAATAAAAATGAGTAAACAAGAAAACCTCTAAAAGGTAGGTGTCTAAAAGGTAGGTGTTTACAAAATTAAGCTCACTAAAACACTAATATTTACAAGAAAAAGAAAAATAGGAATGAAAAAGTCTTCTCTTGTGTTTGATTGCTTGGATAGGTGTTCTCTCTCTTCTTCAAGTGACCTCAACTTGTTTTTGTAAGTTGGAATGAGTTTGTGGCCGTTTCTAGCTGTTGGGGATGATTTGGAGCCATTGGGGATAATTTTTCTACAAAATAAAACTGCTCAGGACAGGGAGTATCGGTACTCCTTTAATGAGTATTGATACTTCCTTTATAATTTTTAAATAAATTAGCCGTTGGACTTGACCAGTATCGATACTATGATCATGGTATCAATACTATCGTGTAAAGTAGTATCGGTACCCATTTGGGTATCGATACCTATTTTGCATTCTGGAATTTGAGCAATTCGGAAAACACATGGTAGTATCGATACTATCTAGAAAGTATCGATACTTCTCTTACCTTTGGTATCGGTACCACATGAACAATATCAATATTGTTCATATAATATCAATATTGTAAGAAAAGTATTGGTACTACGTACCCAGAAAAGCATTTTGCGCTCAAATTCTATTTTAATGGGCTTTGAATTATTTTTGAAAACTTTAAGCAAATTCAATCAAGTCCAAAAATATTTTACCTTAATTTGTTATATCAAAATATTATAAAACATAGTTCAACAATATCTCAGCTAGCATGCTAACATCCAACTCAGTCTATCATCAATCTCTTTAACGAAAAAAGACGAGTTTGAAACATATGAATAATCGAGTGACCATTTTATAACTTTTAATAATCAAATAGTTCAACAAAACAATGTACTATAATTGAGAAATTATTTTGTAACTTTTAATAATTAGGTTACTCAATAAAATGATTTTTTTCTCGCTATAATGATGACATCAGAGCTTCTTATACCTTATTCTAGGCAGAACTCGAGACATTCTTCTGGTCTTACCCTTAATCAAATATAAAGTTATAATGCTATGTGAAGCAAACTTAATGAGCAAAATGATAGAGTAACAAGCAACTTAAGATTTAAAATCTCATCGTCCATTCTAACTATCAAGACGTTTACTTATATCACTTCAAAACTCACGTAATTAATTGTAGATATCTTTTCATTTTTTATTATGTTCGAACGCAATAGTGGATCTAGAAATATTTTTTAGAGTAGCCACATAAGCATTGATAATATAAGATTTTCGTATAAGATAGACACAAATAAAATACACCCCTACTTTGGCTTAATCGTAAATCATATCAAAAGTGTCACATTGACTAATCTGAGTTCAACTTAATAACGGATATAACTAAAATTACATCCAATCAATCAAATATGCATAAATAATCATTTGAATGACTAAATTACAAAACATGACAAATATATGGACTATGAAGCAATACAAATCACAAAATGGGTTTAAAACAACAATTTCATAAGTTTTGGGGGGTAATTAATGGGTTTCGAAAGTGTATAGTTTTGATACAAAGTCTTGAGTTTCGAAGCCTAAAAGTCTATTAGACGAGAGTTTTGAAACTAATATTCTGAATTTCATAAGTTTTAATTAGCGGAAACGAGTTATTTGATATTCGATTATAAAAACTCACGAGCAATTCAAAAAATAATATATTAAAATTTTATTTTTTAAAATTAAATTGTCAATAATATTAATATTTATGTGTTGATTTCTTTAAAAAAAATTCAGTATAAGATATTTTCATGAACTTAAGGTTCAATTTCGAGTTTGAGTTTCAACCGAATTAAATTTAATATTTTTTTATTTCAAGTTTTTTGAGCTTCAATTCATGGTTTCGAGTTCAAGTTGAATTTAAAAATTTCAAACTCGCGAGTTTTCAAGTTGAATCAAGTTTTATTTTAAAGTTTTCAAGTCAAATCGAACTCAGTAGAATTCAAGCTCGATTCAACTCGTTTACGACCGTAGGTCGAATTGATTTCACACTCAAAACCTTTCTATAACGGGTACAAACGTCACTCCAAAAGGTCAACTTTAAATGACAAAACTTCTCTCTCAAACCATCCTATAAATTTATATATCCTATTGCATGTTCACACCCAAAAAACAAAAAAGTATGAAGAGGAGTTTCCCTAGTGAAATAGAGAGCAATTTAGCTTTGGCAAATTGCTTGATTCTCCTTTCACAAGGAGGAAACAATTATGATCAACATGCCATCTTCAACAACAACAACAACAACAATAACCCTAGTAGGGTTTTCGAGTGCAAAATATGTAACCGGCAGTTCGCTTCATTCCAAGCTCTAGGAGGTCACCGAGCCAGCCATAAGAAACCGAAGTTGATTGATGGAGATAACGGGTCGACCGAGAGCCGACAACCGAAGAAACCTAAGATGCACGAGTGCTCGATCTGCGGGCTCGAGTTTACGATCGGGCAAGCGTTGGGGGGACACATGAGGAGGCATAGGACACATGAGGTAAGAAATCCATAGAAATTTGTTTCAATTCCGAATTTGGTTAAAAGAAAATCTCATGAAATGACTTAAACTTGAGAATTGATATATGGGTAAACTATACGTTTAGTATCTCAGCTATCAATGTTGTTCTATTTTTATCACCCAACTATTTCTTTTCAAAATCATACCTAATATTATATTTTGATTTCATTTTGATAACCCATAGTTAAAAAATTAACAGAACTGTTGACGTGATATTCTTTTACTTTTATTTTTTTGATGGCATGATATTACCATATGGTGACACATCAACATAAGTACATCATTATTAATTTTTTAGGGTAAAGAACGAAAATAGTCCCTCGACTATAGGGTATTGCTTTATTACGTCCCTCGATTATTAAAAGTTATAAAATGGTCATTCGACTATAGAGTGTTGCTTTGTTGAGCCCCTTGACTATTTAAAGTTACAAAATGGTCACATGACTATTCATTATGTTCCAAACTCATCATTTTTCGTTAAAAATTGATAATATTCTAAGTTGAATGTTAAATTGTTGTCTGTGATATGATAAAATTTGATCCCAAAAATCTCAAACGACCATCATATCTCTGTCATCATGTTAATGTCTAGCTTAAACAACTGCTAACTTTTTAACATAAAAGGACAAGTCTGGAATATAATGAATAGTCGAGTGATCATTTGTAACTTTTTTATAGTCGATGGACTCAACAAAGCAATACTCTATAGTCAAAGGAGCATTTTATAACTTTTAATAGTCGATGGACTTCATAAAACAATACCCTATAGTTAGGGGACCATTTGCATTCTTTACCCAATTTTTTAATGGTGAGTGATTAAAATGAAACCAAATATAATATTATTATGTATGATTTAAAAAAATATAGTTGTGTGATCAAACATAAAAAAGTAATTGTTGGGGTACTAAAACTATAATTTACCCTAAATACAATCTAAATTATCAAAAGAAATTGATTTTTGAGATCACCATAGCTAGTTAAAACTGGCGGCAAGCAACAGCGGCAAGAATATGGGATTGTCTCAGGAAAGACGGGTTAATATACGGTTAATATACGGTAGTATCGGATACATTAAAATGTATTTAATAAATTCGGTTTAGCGGTACCTATTATGTTGACAACTAATAATGTTTTAGGTAGAAAATATGAAAAACTATTAAAAAATTTGATAACCGGTAAACTTTGGTTATCGGTAAGTATCTATCCTTTTTATAAAAGTGTCCATACTTTTAACATATCAAGTAAATTTTATCGGTTTTGTCATAATGAATCTGGTTTTGTCATATTTTTAACTGTTATATTGTAAAGTATCTATCCTTTTTATAAAAGTGTTCACATTTATTTCACTGTGAAAATATATTTATTATTATCTTTGGTTAATATTGTTAAATTTAAATTCTAAATAATATTTTATAAAATATCAAAACAATCAAATAATTTTGTGTGTAAATGAAATTATTAAATTAATATTATAGGTGGAAAACATGAAACACTATTAAAAAAAATTGAAACATAAATTACATAACTTTAAAAAAAGTATATATCATTTTTATAAAAGTGTCCATACTTAGTTCACTGTGGAAAACATATTTATTTTTATATTTGGTTAATATTGTTAAATTTAAATTCTAAATAATATTTTATAAAATATCAAATAATCAAATAATTTTTTGTGTAAATGAAATTATTAAATTAATATTGTAGGTGGAAAACATGAAACACTATTAAAAAAATTGAAACATAAATTACATAACTTTAAAAAAAGTATATATCATTTTTATAAAAGTGTCCATACGTATAAAAGTAGGTCTAAGTCATGAAGAAATATTAAAAAATTGTGCTACCGGTTCGTGTCGATCCAAATAAAAAATGTATCGATCCAAAACGATATAACAGGTAAAACTATGACAAAACCAGTATAGAAATGATAAAACCGGTAAAGCGCTACCGGATACATTTAAAGTGTCGGTACTTTAATATAAGGATCGACACTTCGTGAATTTAAAAGAGAAGCAGTTTTAAATCCTATAAAGTGTCGATACTTTTAAAAAATGTATCGATCCAAAACGATATTCCAGGTAAAAATATGATAAAACCGGTTACAAAATGATAAAACCGGTAAAACGTTACCGGATATATTGAAAGTGTCGATACTTTATATAAGGATCGACACTTTGTGAATTTAAAAGAGAAGTAGTTTTAGCGCCTATAATGTGTCGATACTTTAAAAAAATATATCGATCCACAACGATATAACAGGTAAAAATATGATAAAACCGGTATCAAAATGATAAAACCGGTAAAATGATACCGGATATATTGAAAGTGTTGATACTTTCGTAAGTACGTGTAATAAATTATCGACACTTTCAAAGAAATAGATAATTATTCTTTCGAAAGTATCGACACCTGACATAAAAGTATCGACATTTTTGTATTTGTATCGATTAAATATAAATAACATATCCGATCAAAATATAAGCTAAATCTCCTCTGAAAATAGATAGAACGGACGAGTTTTTGAAATCGAAGCGTAATTGTTGCTGCATTTCAGAAGGCGTTTCTAAAGCGAAGTTTGTTTGTTTGTTGCTGCAGTCGAATCGAAAAGTATGTTGTCGAAATCCTAATTTTTTATTATTACAGTAATCACGATAGGGTTTTTATGTGTTGTTTGGGGTTTTGGAGTAAAGAAGCATTTGGGAACGATTGCAGTTAGAAAGTGATATTCAAGGAAAAATATAAATGTCGATACTTTTATTAAATATTATAGTTAGAAAATGATATTATAGGTTGTATAAATGTGCCGACACATTTTGGTGTGGCCATTCAAATTCTTTTGAAGAAAACCGTTTTACCACAAGAGTAATTATCTATATTTGTATATTGAATAAAGTGTATGTAACAAAATAATTTTATTTGCGTAAACTGATATATGAAGGAAAAATGGAGTCAATGGGTTGGAAAATTGTTGGTGGAGCAGATGACTTTGAAATTGAGGCCGAGACTCGAAAGCAACCCAAGGGTGGATATATGTACTTCTAGTAAGTATCAATGTCTTTTTGTTATTATTGTTGAAATGGTAATTGGATTAAAGTATCGATAAACTTTAAATTGATTACAAATTTTAAATGTTGACAGTATGGCCGAATGCAAAAGGATGAAGGAAGATGGCACACAGAGCGGTTCGGTATGTAAAATGAAATTGACATTGAGTAGTATTTAGTGTTAATGTATTGATTAAGAAACGTTTATGTTTTATATTAGGTGACAAAAGATGTGAGGTCCAAATGGAATTCAATGAGTGATGCTGAAAAGGAACCTTACATCACAGTCAAGGAATGATAGTAAAGAATACAAAGAACGGAGGAAAGCACATGAAAATAAGGTATTCATTAAACTTGTAAATACGTTGATACAAAATATATAAGAACTATAACATTATATATTGTTAAAATATGTAGGAAGTGTCGACAAGATGCAGCATTAAAAGGGTGAATTTATTAATTAAACACCTTAAGGAGAAGGGTCAGTTGAATGTGCTGGGAGAAATAGGTTTTGGATCATTGGTAGGAGTAAGGGATCGACCTATTCGGAGGGAATTGTGTCGATCCTTGATGGCGCAATTTGATGTCAGACAATGTATTGCTAAATATGGTGATTTTTCATTTCCTCTCGGGATCCCATGTGCTGCAGCTGTATTGGGGGTAGAAAATGAAGGCAAAAGTATTGTAGAAGTCTGTAAGAGTAAGGACTGGAAAGCACTTGCCTCCAAATATGGTTTGAAGCATAATGTGACATATGCTGAAATTGAAGAGGAAATAAAAAGTGGATCTTACGTTGGGGATGAGCTGAATGCCAGAGTTCTATTATACCTTGTCGGTATCTTTCTTTGTCCAACGGGTAATACGCCAACGAACAAAGAACATATTAAGCTCATTTGTGATGAAGTCTTGAAGGGTGAATTCAATTGGGCTGAATATATCCATTCGAGATTGATTAAATCAATAATCACCTTTAAAAAGGACAGCCAGAGATACCTCAAAGGGTGCATAGCAATCTTAGAGGTAAATGAGTTGAAGAACTTTTTTGTGTTTTTATATAAAAATATAAATTTTATTATAAATGCAGGTTGCACTGTTCGATTTTTGGTCGGGCTGTGAGGCAGTGCCGGCTTATGAAAGAACCGGAGTGGCACGCATCCGTGCATGGGGGAAGGAAGAGGTGGTTAGAGTGATGGTGAAGTTGAAGTTGGATAGAGCGAAGAAGCAAGAAAGGGTAATAAATGTAATTAAATAATATTAAGAATATAATCAATGTCTTAATATTGTAATTTAATTTTGAAGGTTATTGGCAAGGATGTAGAGGCGGCAGTGGAGGCAGAGGAGAAGAAATGAGGGATGGTTGTATTGGGGGATGACGGTGAGTGGGTCGATGGTGAGGGAAAACGTAGTAACTTCGACATTTTGATGTCTGAATTGGCTGATATCAAAAAAATCCAATTTGAAATCATGCAAAGACAATCAAGAGTCGAAGAGAAACTTGAGAGAGTCGAAGATACACTTGAGAGGCATAAGGGGGTAGTGGAAGGAAAAATAGATGGAGTGGTTAAAGAAGTAGAGGTGTTGAGGGGTGAAGTGGTGAAAGAAGTTGGGGTGTTAAGGGGTGATATTAAGATGGTGACGGGTGAAAAATTTGAGGGAGTGGTGAAGGAGGTTGTGGAATTGAGGAGTGAACTTACGGGGGTGAAGGGGGTGGTTGATAAATACTTGGATGAAGGAGATCAATTGAAGGGTGAAATAAAAGAGATGAAGAGCTATGTAGAAAAAAATACGATGAACTGAAAAAATATGAAGAAGAAAAGAGGGAGGAGGAAGAAGAAGAGATGGAAGAAATGAGGAGGAAGGAAGTCAATGTCATTTATACACTGGAGAGTGTTATAGCAGCAGATTTGGATTCGGAATGTCCTGTACCCCAGAAGGTAAGTTGAATAAAAG